GAAGGGGGTCCCCCTTTTTTTGGGGCTTGGGGGGGGGGGGGGCAACAGTGTGAGGGCTTCTGCTGTCCCTAAAATCTCCAGGTATTTCCCAACCTGGAGCTCGCAACCCTATTTACCACCTGGGGAAATGTGGGTTTCCCCAGCAGACCAAAGAGTTCTCCCACAAAATGGTCCAACCCTAACCCTGACATCGAGATGGGAACCCGGATCCACTGGGGCCCTTTGAGTGTGGCTGGGGTGTGGCCATTGCGCCATCTGCTGGAAGTACAACTGCGGGTCAGCATCCACCGCTGTCTCCTCCCTCCACCCCTTCCCCCCTCCATCCGCGAACACAGCCCAGCCAGCTCAGTACCTGCTTTGGCTTTCTCTTCGTCGCCCTTCTGGATGAGGAGATACCTGGGGCTCTCGGGGAAGAAGGGCAGGCACAGAAGCTGCAGTGCTGCGGGGACCCCGGTTAGGCCCATCAGGATAGGCCAGCCTGCAACAAGAGAGAGAAAAGAACAGCGTTGCGAGTCCTGCGGTGATTCCTATCCTGCATCTCCAGCTGCCGACCTCGCTTTCCTAATTTACCTTCAGAACTTCCCAAGATCATCCGCATCCCCAAAATCTGAGCCGCCAGGATCCCGATGGTGATGAAGAGCTGCGGCACGACCCCCACGGCCCCCCTGAGGTTTTTGGGGGACATCTCTCCGAGGTACATGGGGACGACATTGGAAGACAGGCCTGGGGGGGGGGGGAAGAGGAGGAGAGGAAGGTCAATCCGTCAATCAATCCATCAGTACTTTATTTACAGTCCATGACCAGAATACAAACCAGTAAGGAAAAAATAAAACAGAAATGACCATATAAAAATTAAGGTATGCAACTATAAAGGTAAAGGTAAAGGTTCCCTTGCTCGAAAGCCAGTCGAATCCGACTCTAGGGTTGCGGTGCTCATCTCCGTTTCCAAGCCAAAGAGCCAGCACTGTCCGAAGACGTTTCCGTGGTCATGTGGCCGGCATGACTAAACACCGAGGCGCACGGAACGCTGTTACCTTCCCACCGAAGTGGTACCTATTTATCTACTTGCAATTTCTTGCTTTCGAACTGCTAAGGTTGGCAGGAGCTGGAACTAGAGATGGGAGCTCACTCCGTCATGCGGCACACTCCGGTCTCAAACTGCTGAACTACCGACCTTCCACAGCCTGCAGTTCAGCGTTTTAACCACTTGAGCCACCGCAGCTCCTAACCCTAATGCAACTATAGAAGTGTATAAAAGTAAATAGAAACTAATACTAATAGAAATACAATAGTTGCTAACACTGAGATTCTAATATAGAATACAATCAGCCACTAAGTTGGGAAATATATATGGAACGTAGTTTAATCACTTGGGAGCAGAATTTAGAAACTTTCTGGGTGATCTCTATGCTTAAATCAGAGAGAGGTGTGTTGATGATCCCAGAGTCGGAGGTGTCAGGACAGAGCTCAAGTAACGGGGAGATAAGGGCAGTACGATTTTCATTGAGAGGAAGGTCTAAAGGAGGCAATATGGGAAGGCGTAGAGAACGGCGGGGAAAGGTAGACCGCAGTCCATCAGTCAACCACTGGTACGGCCACCAGCAACCTGGAGGGGGGAAAGTGTCCTGTCCCTTTAACAGTGGCTTTGTTGTTGTTCAATCGCACAGTCGAGTCCGACTCTTCGCGACCCCATGGACCAGCTCCCGCCAGGCCTTCCGGTCTTCCGCCGTCCTCTGAAGTTTGCTCAATTTCATGTTCGTTGCATCTATGACACTGTCTAACCATCTCATCCTTTGCCGTCCCCGTCTTCTTTGACCTTCAATCTTTCCCAGCATCAGGGTCTTCTTCTCCAGTGAGTGCTCCCTTCTCATTGGGTGGCCAAAGTATTTGAGCTTCAGTTTCATTATCTGGCCTTCCAGGGAACAGTCAGGGTTGATTTCTTTTAGGATTGACTGTGACAGTGGCTTAGTGGGATATTATTTACCAGGTGATGTTATTTACCTGCTTGCAATGAACCACTTCGGCTCTCAGTTTGCACACATTCAGCCTCTTTGAAAAGGGACAGGGGCGTTATTTTTCTCCACTCCACAGGCTTGTGTTCAGGGTGCCCAAGTGGAGTCTGGCAATCGCTGAGATTCTTGCAAAGAATCCTGTCAGATCCAGGAAAGCCATTCTCCCTTTCCTGAACAAGCAAGTGGCAGCGTAGATGGGTTCGTGGTGGCCTTAAGAGATCTGGCCTCACACGGTCAATATACTACACAATCCCATGCAAACAGAGGCGGGGAGCCGTGTTGGTCTGAAGCAACAGAACGAAGCTGGAGTCCAGTGGCACCTTTAAGACCAACAAAGTTTTATTCGAGGTATAAGCTTTCGTGTGCATGCACACAAAAGCTTATACACCCAGAATTCAACTTTGTTGGTCTTAAAGGTGCCACTGGACTCGGACTTTGTTCTATGCAGAGTTGCTCCAGTCTAAGCCCATCGATGGGCTTACAGTGGAGTAAATCTGCACAGGGTTGCACTGTTAGATGCATAACTGGGGCACCAGGAACACTTGGCATGGATGGAAGCCCCCAAGTTCCTCCTCTGAACCACCCGTCCACCCACTTGGAACCTCACTGTTGCCTGGCTGAGGGCCAGCCCAGACCTGTCTCAGCAGAGACCAGAGTTTCCCAACAAGGATAATAATAACTGTGTTAAATACTGGGTTCAAGATGCACTGCAGTGAACAGCTCTAGTTTATTAAGTGATTTCAGGAACAAAACTAAAACTCCAGGGCAAGAGCCCGGTTTAAATGGCATGCAAAAACCACACCTAAACACACTCAACTCCCAACGAAAGGCTGTTTACATAACATTAGTTTCTCATTGGTCACTTCCAATGAGCTATTGTTCTAGAGCTCCAAGCTCAGCCAGTCTCTGGTATATAGTCCTGGAATGTTCCTGACCTAATACATAAACTGTTTCCTTTTTCTAAAAAAAGAAGAAAAGTAGCCACGGAGAGCTGCATTCCATTGGAGAGCAACCATTGGGGAGGGGCCACGGCCCATTGGTAGAGCCTCTGCTTGGCATGCAGAAGGTCGCAGGTTCAATCCCTACCACCTCCAATTCAAAGGGATAAGGCAGTAGGTGATGTGAAAGACCTCCACCTGAGATCCCGGAGAGCTGCTGCCAGTCTGAGTAGACAATGCTGACCTTGATGGATTGATGGTCCAGTTCAGTAAGGCAGCTTCATATGAACCCATGTGTACCCTTCAACAGTGGGAGAAAGAGGCTTAACCTGCAGTCTGCAAGAGTATCTTCCACGAGATGGGAAAAGCAGAAAGGGCTGCAGATGTTATTTTCATTAGAAAAATATCTGGGGTGGGGGTGGACAAATTAAGCCACCTCTCCTGCATCCAGTTTGGTGCAGTGGTTAAGTGTGTGGACTCTAATCTGGGAGAATCGGGTTTGATTCCCCACGCCTCCACTTGCAGCTGCTGGATGACCTTGAGCAAGAGCTCAAGAGCTGTTCTCTCAAGGACAGTTCTGGAAAGAGCTCTCTCAGCCCCACCTACCTCACAGGGTGAGGGGAGGGGAAGGGAAAGGAGTTTGTAAGCTGCTCTGAGACTCCGAGTAAAGGGTGGGGTATAAATCCGATCTCTTCTTCTTCTTCCCCATTCCTCCACTCAAGATCACATGGGCCCGTAGCTACGGTGGGGCATTTTGGGGCCACACCCCTTAATTAAAAGCTACGCCCCACAAAAAGCCGTGCCAGAAAGCATTTAAAAAAAATTAAGTTGCACCAGCTTAAGTTAATTAACTTAACTTAGCTGCCCCCTGAGGAATGTAAATGACCCCCTAATGGAAAAAAACCCCTAGCTATGGGCCTGAGTTCACATCCTCCCATGGCTGCTTTTCATTAAAATAAACATGCATGTATAAGCCTCGGGAGACTGTGAAGTGCACCTGCCTTCTAAAGTCTAGTTTAGCCTTGAGTTCAGCCAGCCACCAGCTAACCTGTCTCCTTACCTGACAGAGAAAGAGAAACAACCCGAGAGGGAGGGGGGAAGATCCGGGCTGAACAGAGTCACATGCCTACCGCACAATTTACAGAACCGCCTTCCGAGGGCATTCCAGGCCAGGCTGGCAAAACAAATATCCCAGCACCCTACTCCATCATGTCCAAGATGTATAAATATAAGGGAAAACCTGATCCAACACCGAATGTTTAGCTTCCGGGAGCCAGCGATCCCGGCTGACCTCTCCTGTAAACCTAGTGGCTTTGTTGGAGAGGGCTGGGCGGCTCTCGTAAAGCCGCCTCCTGTTTACCTGGCAAACCTACAGTCAATCACTCTCCGTTTATCAAAGCTGATTTGCCACACCTTTGAAGGAACAGAGGGGCAAATTTGCATTGTGCACTGATGTGCACTGAAATCAACACAGAGTGACTAAATGATGGAAAGGTGCAGGGGGGGGCGGGCGAATGGTTGCATTTATTCCTTTTCTGTGGGACACGTTTGCTAACTCTCTAAGCCACATGTTTAATTTTCCTTTCTTTTTAAAAATATAACCATAAATGAAACAAGTCTACCTTTTATATAACACTGTTGATGTACCATGGCCCTTTACAGAGCGCAAGGAGACAGACGAGCCCTTGCCCTAAGTAGCTTACAATCTAAAAATCCGAGGAGGTCAATAAAGGGCAGGGAGGGAGGGAGGGAGGCGTGACCTGCCTGGCCCTGGGTAGTAAATGGACGGGAGACCCCCACGGAATTTCAGGGTCACTATGCAGAAGATGGCAATGGCAAACCACCTCTATTCCTCTCTTGCCTTGAAAAGCCTACAGGGTCGTCGTAAGTCGGCTTAAAGAGACAACTGAGAATTCGGTGCCCTTCAACAACATCCAAAATCGAGACCTTGAGGAAGGTTCTCCGTTTGGCTTCGCAACTCTGCCATCACTGGGTGAACGGCCCCAAAGCCCAGCTTGCATAAGGTCTGCTTCGTTTGCTACCTTCTCCTGGGAAACGACACTGTTTTATTTCTTTTTGCATTTTTGCAATTGTGATTGTGTGTGTGTGTGTGTGTGCCCGTGCCTGGAAGTCATGGCAACGTCTGGCGACTCCTGCTGGGGCATGGCGGACGTTCAGAGAAGTGGCTTGGTAGCCTGCCTCTGGCCTCCCAGCCCTGGTATTCTCTGGAGGTCACCCATCCAAGTCCTTGCCAGGGACGGCCCTGCTTAGCTTCCGAGATCTGCTGAGATCGGACTTGCCTGGGCTATCCAGGTCAGGGCGAAAAACTACACTGTTGACCGAGAGACTGGATTCTGGTCTCCTCAAAGCACAAGTCCTCCGAGGATATGAAACTGCCTCCTTTGAAGTCAGACCCCTGGAATACCTTGCTCAGTTCTGAGCTGTAGCAGCTCTCAGAGAAGGGATTCCCCCCCCCCAACACCTGACCTTATGCCCTCATGCGTGCAACACGTGCGCTCTACCAAACGATGGCCTCTTCCCCTTCAACGCAGCTTACTTACCGGCGCATATCCCGATGACGATGCGGCAAACTATGATCACCTCAAAGGTTGAAGCCACTTTGGAAATTCCCATGAGGATGGCAGGGATGATGGAGAAGACATTGTTGATCAGTAAAGTGCCCTTCCTGTGAAGGAGAGGGGGGGTGGGATATTACATGCACAGAGCCTAGAAACGGCCATGAACCACAGCCCACCCACTTTATTCCAAGTACCACCCGGGCAGCCTGCAAGACGAGGCTGTGGCTAGTTGGAAGAACTCAGCGGCGCCACCATTGCAGGTGGCCAAAAAGTGGAACTACAGCATCCAGCCTGGTGGGAATCATATGATAAAAGGAACCAAGAGGGTCAAGGGGTGGCCCCCAAAGTTGCTAATTCTGGCCTGAAATTGAAGCCTTAGTACAATTTGACGTAGAGGTCCACCAACATTACAGAATGTTTGGGGTCTTTTTAACTTTCCCCCCCTCATTTTCAAAAGCTTTATTATTATTCAAAGCGTACAATAACAATCTAGAACTATTAACTGACAATAACAAATTTTACAATAGTTATCAGTTTTTTGTCAAACACAACTATAACACAATAAAGGTAGAACAAACAGATCCAAATTACGTTTTATACGATATTCCGTAAGAAAATAAATTAATATCATACAGTCTATAAGGTCCTATCAGCTTGGGTGATCATATTGTTATATTATAAGACCCAATCTTTACGAATGTAAGAATAATACTGTGATTGTTGGGATGTAGATATTTGACCTAGAATATATTCTAGGTGCTCTAAAATTGGGTGCCACCTGCCGTAAAAGGAGTCGATTTGTTTTGAAGACTCATAACAGGATAATTTGTCCGATATTTTATCCATCAAAAGATGGTTCCATATATTAGAGAACCAGGAGCCCAAACTCAAGGGTCGCGTGTCTTTCCAGTGTTGGGCAATAGTAGATTTGGCTGCTGACATTAAAAGTGTAATCAATTCTATACTATATTGAGGGGGGTCTTTTTAACTTTTGTTAGTATTTTTGCATTTTGTGTGTGTGCATGCACGTGTGTGTGTGCATGCCCTTGCCTGGAAGTCATGGTGACCTCTGGCAATGCCTGCTGGGGCATGGCGGACGTTCAGAGAAGTGGCTTGATAGCCTGCCTCTGCCTCCCGACCCTGGTATTCCTTGGAGGTCTCCCTTCCAAGTACTCGCCAGGGCCGGCCCTGCTTAGCTTCCAGGATCTGACGAGATCGGGCTTGCCTGGGCTACCCAGGTCAGGGCAATTACAGACTGTTTGTTGACCAAAAACAGCACAAAGCACATATTAGTTCTCTGTCTGCAGGGGGAAACGGGCATATGCTATTTGTGACTTGGGACGTTTTGTCAGGTTCTGTGAGCTACCCCGGGTTCTTGTGTCAGCTGAGACAACCTGCTTTATCCGGGCAGCCTGCAGGAGGAAGCAACGGCTAGTTGGAAGAACTCAGCTGCGCCACCATTGCAGATGGCCAAAAAGTGGAACTACTACGTCCTTCCGAGTGGGAATCACATGACACAATCACACTTTCCCCCCAACACCTGACCTTACGCCCTCATGCATGCAACACGTGCTCTACCAAACGATGGCCTCTTCCCCTTCAACACTGCTTACTTACCTGCGCATATCCTGATAATGATGCCAACCAAAGGCTAAACCCAACCAAAAGCTACCGCACAATGGGTTCAGGGTTGAATTTGCACCGTTCAGTCCGGAACCTCTTCAGGAGGTGCAGACGTCACGTGTCTCAGGCATGAGAGGAAGGTGGCTTGCAGTCAAAAGGTCTTTTGCAACACCTGTTCCATCCAGTAATTTCTGCCGGAGACTGAATCTTGGACCGTGCGCATCCAAAACCAAGTCAGGGCACTAAGGCATGGCGGGATCCCTTCTCCCAATGCATGGCAAAAGAGAGCGGAGGAAATCTGACTCCTTTCCCTGCCCGCCCTCCCCCTCTTGGGGGTCCCTCTTGCAGTATTGAGCAGCATTCGTTTCTTACCTGCCGCAGGTGTTCACCATGGGGCCCACCATAAGGGACCCAAAGAAGCCTCCGAGGGGGAAGAAAGACACCGTCAGAGACCACAGGGCTGTCATCAGGTCCTCGCTCATGTACTCCCCGTACCGTTCGAAGTAGGTTTCGTTGTAAAAATCTTGCATGAACTGGAAAGTGAGCACAAGAGGCCTGTTACGATCTCACACCTGCGCCATATCAAGGTTTGCCCTCCCTGGCAGGTGGTTCTACAAAGAGACTGGTTCCTATGAAGCTGCCTGATGTTGAGTCACACTGTTGGTCCGTCTAGACCAATGATGTCTGTTCTGGCTAAAAGCGACTCTCTGGGAATAAAACTTTGTCGGTCTTAAAGGTGCCCCTGGACGCAAACTTTGTTCTCTGGGATCACAGGCAAAGAAGAGTCTTTCCCAATGCCCTTTACACAAAATGCCAAGGATTGAACCCGGGACTTCCTGTATGTAAAACACATGGTATACCACTGGCCTATGGGCCTTCCCACAAAAAGGAGCTGTTTTACGTGGTGAAGTCCCATCTACGTAAATACGTATTATCTAATCCGACGGACAGCAGCTCTTCGAGGCCTAAGGCAGAGAACGTTCCTGGCCAAGCTTCACAAAGCTTCAATGAAGCTCAACATGGGGAGGGCTGTGGCTCAAGTGGCAGAGAATCTGCTTGGCATGTAGAAAGTCCCGGGTTCAATCCCCGGCATCTCCAGTTAAAAGGGATCAGAGTGGAGGTGATGTGAAAGTGTTGGCGTTTGCAAGTTCTCTCCATGAAACTGCTGAGCAATGTTCCCTCTAAGCTGTGGAGTCCTGTGAGCAAAAATTTTACTTTGTGAGCTACAGGCATTAAAGTTGTGAGCGAGGATTTGGCTACTGCATAAATTAGTTTGCTCTGGAGCCCTCCTTCCTGAGCTAAGACAGAAACGTGTGAGCCGGAGGCAAAAAAACTGTGAGCTAGCTCACACTAACTCAGTTTAGAGGGAACACTGCTGCTGAGCGGTCAGGTTAGAACACATAAAAGGAAGTCCTTCTTCACCCAAAGAGTGATTCACACATGGAATTCACTGCCACAGGAGGTGGCGGCAGCTACAAGTATGGATGGCTTCAAGAGGGAATTAGATAAGCATATGGAGCAGAGGTCCATCAGTGGCTATTAGCCACAAGGTACAGATATGGGCTCTGGGGCCAGTGATGCTCTGTCTTCTTGGTACTTTGGGGGGGGGGTCAACAGTGGGAGGGCTTGTAATGTCCTGGCCCCACTGGTGGACCTCCTGATGGCACCTGGTATTTCTGGCCACTGTGTGACACAGAGTGTTGGACTGGATGGGCCTTTGGCCTGATCCAACATTGGCATCTCTTATGTTCTTAAGAATGTATATGTTTGTTTGGCATGCTGCTATCCTAGCTCTTTAGTTAGAGAGAGACCCTTTGTTTGTTTTCTAGTATTTCCCAGTTTGCCCTTCCCTCATTAGTAAAGTGAACTTCCCTGTTTAAAGGCTAAGACAAGTGTTCTGCTGCATTTATTAACGCCACATTTTACATTGAAAGCCTTAACAGAAGCACCTCCCCCTGAGACCCTGGAGAGTTGCTGCCCGTCTGAATAGACAAGACTGACCACAAAGGACAGAGGGTCTGATTCAGTATGGAGCAGCTTCATAGGTTAAGACGGGATCTTTTACATGTAAAGGATGTGCCTTGTGTACAAGCGATTAACCTTCCTGGAGCTGTTGAGCAACACGGACGGGGATATTTCTTCAGGCGAACGGCCCCGTGATAATAAAACCTTTTCGCTTTATTTCAATGGGATACAGCAAAGCATCACATGTGAGCAGTGCCAGATGTAAAAGGTGCTTTCCCAGGCCCGTACGTTCCCACTGCATGCAGGCTGCCAGTCTGCGGCCCTGGCAAACACCGTCAGAGGTGCGTGAAGGTTCGGACTGGCCACCTACCGGAGCTGGAGAGTTGATCACGGAGACATTGTACCCATATTGGAATGACGACCCAAAGGCGGCGATAAAGGTCACGAGGCCGAGCACGATGGTCATTCTCTGCAGCCAAGAAAAAGAAGGAAGGAAGGGTGAACCTAAGAACGTCAGAAGAGCCCTGCTGGATCAGGCCAGTGGTCCATCTAGTCCAGCATCCTGTCTCACACAGGGGCCAGCCAGTCCCTCTGGAGGGCCAACAACAGGGCAGAGAGGCCGAGGCCTTCCCCTGATAAGAACATAAGAAGAGCCCGGCTGGATCAGACCAGTGGATCATCCAGTCCAGCAGCCTGTCTCACACAGTGGGCCAGCCAGTTCCTCTGGAGGGCCAACAACAGGGCATGGAGGCAGAGGACTTCCCCTGAGAAGAACATCACAAAAGCCCTGGTGGATCAGACCAGTGGTCCATCTAGTCCAGGATCCCGTCACACTCAGCAGCCAACCAGTTCCTCTGGAGGGCCAACAACAGGGCAGAGAGGGTGAGGCCTTCATAAGAACATAAGATGAGTGCTGCTGTATCAGAGCAATGGTCCATCTAGTCCCGCATCCTGTCTCACACAGTGGCCAACTGGTTCCTCTGAAGGACCAAGCAAACAAGGCAGAGAGGCCAAGGCCTTCATAAGAACATCAGAAGAGCCCTGCTGGATCAGGCCAGTGGTCCGTCTAGTCCAGCATCCTGTCTCACACAGCAGCCAATCGGCTCTTCTGAAGGCCCAGCACCAGGACATAGAGGCTGAGACCTTCCCTTAATACAGCCTCATAGAATCATAGAGTTGGAAGGGACCTCCAGGGTCATCTAGTCCAACCCCAGCACAAGGCAGGAAATTCACAAATATCTCCCCCTCCACACCTGCAGTGACCCCTGCTCCATGCCCAGAAGATGACAAAAAACCTCCAGGATCCCTGGCCAAACTGGCCTGGAGAAAAATTGCTTCCTGACCCCAAAGTGGCGCTCAGCATTTCCCTGGGCGTGTAAGAAAGGGCCACATGAACTAAGCACTGAGGCAACCCTTCCTGCCCTCCCTCTCAGGATCCACCTAAGTTCACAGAATCCGCATTCTGGCACTGAGATTCACAGGTTGACTGCCTCTGAACATGGGGGTTCCCTTTGGTCAGCATGGCCAGTAGCCACTGATAGCAGTGCTGATCCACCTAAGGGGCTGGATTAGCAGCTTGGCCTACTGATCTTCAGAGGATGGAGGAAGACCGGAAGGCCTGGCGTGATCTGGTCCATGGAGTCGCGAAGAGTCGGACTCGACTGTGCGACTGAACAACAACAACTACTGATCTTGATATGCATAACATGGCAGCTCTTGATTAACACAAAAAGGAAAGCCCGATAGGGATGCACCTGTCCGAATGTCACTCTCTCTATTCTGAAATCCCGGTTTCCTTAGAAGGGCTCATTCACACATGCACACATCGAATCCTTTGGTATATGTGGCTGTGCTCAAATGGGAAAACCTGGCGCATTCTTGCTAGTGTACTGCAGCAGTCATGCCCATTGTCTAGAGTGCTGATCAAGAACTGGAATGTATTGTGTTCAATTCCCCATTCGTCCACGAAACTCACTCTAGGGACATGGTGTTGGTCACTCTCCTTTAGCCTGACAAGGGACGGTGAGAGGACAAAGTAGAGAAGAGATGGGGAACACGTACGTTTCCCTGAGCTCCTTAGTCCATAAACACATTTATTGCCTTTTGTATAAAGTGTTTTTTGAGGTAGAGGCAACACCTTTTCAGCATAGCGTCCGGTGCCTCTCCTCAACCCCCCTCGCAAAGTCTCAAAAAGATTAGACCAGGGGTTCCAGTTCTATGAGCCCCCAAAGAAAGTCACCCCACCCTCCAATATTTCCAATGGAGAGGGGGTTCCAATTCTATGAGCCCCCAATGAAAGTCACCCGGTCCTCCAATATTTCCAATGGAGAGGGGGGTTCCAGTTCTATGAGCCCCCAAAGAAAGTCACCCCATCCTCCAATATTTCCAATGGAGAGGGGGGTTCCAGTTCTATGAGCCCCCAAAGAAAGTCACGCCATCCTCCAATATTTCCAATGGAGAGGGGGGTTCCAGTTCTATGAGCCCCCAAAGAAAGTCACGCCATCCTCCAATATTTCCAATGGAGAGGGGGGTTCCAGTTCTATGAGCCCCCAAAGAAAGTCACGCCATCCTCCAATATTTCCAATGGAGAGGGGGGTTCCAGTTCTATGAGCCCCCAAAGAAAGTCACGCCATCCTCCAATATTTCCAATGGAGAGGGGGTTCCAATTCTACGAGCTCCCAAAGAAAGTCACCCCATCCTCCCATATTTCTAATGGAGAGAAGGCAGTTTAAAGGAACGTGGTCTCTTTAAACGTGAGGGCCAGAACGCCTTTTGGAGTTCAATCATGTCTTTGCTCCCGGCTCTACCCCTAAGGTCTCCTGGCTCCACCCCCCCCCCCAAAGTCCCTGGATATTTCCTGAGTCGGACTAGAAGACCCTGACTTTGCTTATGCTTGGAGAGACGGGGGAAGAGTGACCTTTGCCTGCATGGTAGATTCCGGCGGGTAGCCGTGTTGGCCTGAAGAAAGAGAACAAAGTCTGGGCCCTCAGGGGCACCATTAAGACCAACAAAGTTTAATTCTGGGTATAAGCTTTCGTGTGCATGCACGCTTTAGCGTGCATGCACACAAAAGCTTATACCCAGAATTAAACTTTGTTGGTTTCCACTGGACTCAGACATTGTGCTTTTGCATGCACACAAAAGCTTATACCCAGAATTAAACTTTGTTGGTTTCCACTGGACTCAGACATTGTGCTTTTGCATGCATGTGCTAAGAAGACCCCCGGCAGTGTCACGAGTTACCAGCCTATAAACAAGGTGCCCTTCCTGACTCCCCCGCTGAATCCCAGAGCCGCTGCCAGGCCAGCGGTGCCAGGGGGCTGCTTTTAATAGGTTGCTAACGCCTCCTGGTTTGTTTGGCACTGGCCGGCGGATCATATTTCCCATTGAGAAGCCTGACTTCTCCTCCAACCATGGCCGGCCTTCGCATCTGCCCCGTTTCCTTCTCCTCCCCCCCCTTCTGACACCCTCCAGTGCCCGCCCACAGTAGCTCCAAAACAGATTTATAGCCTTTCCTTTGGCCTTGATTGCTGGGAGAGTTTTCCCCAGAGGGTGTCACAAGCAGCGTCTTCAGACGGCTTCAAAGGGGGTGGGGTTGCAATGCAAAGACTTTCTCGCAGAATGAATACTTGATTGTTTCTGGAAGGGGCTGATGCAGAGGAGAGAACCGTTTGGGAGGTCCCAGGCTGGTTCGAGCCTCCCCATCTGCTGGAAACTCAGTGCCCTTAAGGCAAGCCCGCTGGTCTATCTCATTGAGCTGTTGCAGTGACTGCAAGATAATTTATAGCAAGCCTTTGTGTATATATATGCCAAGCAAGGCTCCCTCGGAGTCTAAGCTATGGAGTCTTGTGAGCAAACATTCTACTTGGTGAGCGACTGGCCTTAAAGTGGCGAGCCAGCGATTTGGCTGCTGCACAAATTAGTTTGCTCTGGAGCCCCATCCTTCCTGAGCTGAGACAAAAAAAAGCGTGAGCTGTAGGCTAAAAAAAACCACGAGCTAGCTCACACTAACTCAGCTTAGAGGGAACACTGACATTGCCAAGTATTATTCATGCAGTGACAATGTTCCCTTAAAGCAGGCTTCCTCAACATGGTGCCCGGGGGCACGAAGAGGCCCACAGACACTTTTCTTGGCAACAGCCAAGTGTTTCTAGAAAGTGGGCGTGGCCAGGTGGGGCTGTTCCCCATCAGGGCTTCTGATTGGCCACTGAAGATCTGATTGATTATGCAGATTAAAATATAGGGTTGCCAGCCTCCGGGCAGGGCCTGAAGATTTCCGAGAATCAGATTCATCTTCAGGCAGATCAGTTTTTTAATTACCCCCCCTTCATCCCCTGCATTTGGGCGTCCTCCACATGCGTTGCTCTGCCTTCTGCACCAGCCGTTTTGTGGCTGCGTGCCCACCACCCTGGGTCAGAATTGTAAAAATGCCCACAGGCTAAAAAAGAAGAAGAGAGAGAGGAGAAGAGATGAGATTTATACCCCACCCTTCACTACCAGAAGGAGTCTCAGAGCGGCTTACAACCTCCTTTCCCTCCCCACAACAGACACCCTGTGAGGTAGGCGGGGCTGAGAGAACTCTTTTAAGAACTGCTCATGAGAGAACAGCTCTGAGAGAACTTGTGACTGACCCAAGGTCACACTGGCAGCTGCATGTGGAGGAGTGGGGAATCAAACCTGGTTCTCCCAGATTAGAATCCACACTCCTAACTGCCACACCAAAGGTTGGGGACCCCTGCCTTAAAGGGTGCATTTCTCACATTGGGGGCAATGCCAAGCAAACAAAAGCATCATCTTCTTCACTTGGCAAAACAGGGCACTCACTTCTTCTGCATTGTGTTTCTGAGTGTATGCAGAATGCCTTCCTCAGCACTTCAAATAGCCACAATTAACCCCCTGCACGCCTGGGATAAAGTTTCTAGGGTGGAGTAAGAAATCTTCAAGTCAGGCTTGGACCCGAACACCCCTTGCTTTAAGAATTAAACACTGAGGTACATTCCACTATTTTGCAGCTGAAAACAAAGACAGTCTTTGTAACACTCCAGTTCCCAGACCAAAAGAGTGAGGGTTGAGGACCCCCGGCCCCTCCATCATACACTGTTGAAAGCACCACTCCACGCTCTACTGTACGAATTTATCTTCTCTGCAATAGCCAGCCCCACAAAACTTTGAAAGCCAAGGAGGTGTTTGCTCTTTTGGTTAAAGATACACTAGAAAAAGCACCAGTCGTCCCGGAGTATCTTATCAAAGGCGCCAAATAAGCCACAGCAGCTGCAGTGTTTGACACGGCAGGCTTTGCGTAGTATTGTGCTAGAGCGCGTGCATTTATGTACATGCACATAAGACGTAGGACGCTTCTTTTCAACTCGTATTTTTAACGTCCAGAGGCTACAACAACAGAGAGCTCACTCTCAAAGGATGACAATACTTGCAACTTACGCTAGACGTTTTGGAGGTGGCCTAATTTTGCCCTGATGGGGTGGATGGCCCAGGCGAGCCCAATCTTGTTGGATCTAGGATGCTAAGCAGGGTCAGACCTGGTTAGTACTTGGGTGGGAGACCACCAAGGAAGCCCAGGGCTGCGATGCAGAGGTAGGCAATGGCAAACCACCTCTGAACCTCTCTCGCCCTATGGGGTCCCCATAAGCACATTTGCCAGGTCCCCTCTGGCCACCCGCTGGAGATTGGGGGGTTGCCAGATCCAGATTGGGGAACTACTGGAGGTCTAGGGGTGGAGGGCAGGGCCAGGGACCTCCATGGGGTACAGTGCCAGAGAGTCCGCCCTCCAAAGCATCTGTTTTCTCCAGCGAAACTGATCTCTGCAGTCTGGAAATGAGCTGTCATTCCGGGGGATCCCCGAGTCCCACCTGGAGGACGGCCTCCCTAGCCATAAGTCAGCTGTTGAAGGCACTTCCCACAACCCAATTTTTTGGGGGAGGGAGAAAAAATCAGGGCATCGGACACAGAAAATAAAATAGTGTCTGAACGTAAGAACAACTGGAACACAGACATTTTGGCATTCGGTGCATGCTCAGGAGCATTCTCTTTATTACACCTTCACGTTGGCCGAATCTGCATCTACATATTAAAGCAGTTTAGTTTGACAGGCCTCTGTGGGGCTGCCTGAAGACGCTTTTGGTCCCACAACTGCCTGCACCGCACTGGCTCACGGATGCATCCCAGAATCCTTTGCAATGCTGCAGGGGACACTGGGAGCACAACTCTCAGATTGCACACAACTGTGCACAATTTGAGCATTTTGCCCCCTGGAATGCCCTGTGGCTCTGCAAGGGATTCTGGGATGCGCCCATGAGATTGCCCGTCCCTTCCTTGAAACTGTAAAAAATATTGCTACCCCAAGCGCTGGTCACTTGCCCTGTTGTGCTACCCTCGCAGGTAGGAGTCTCCTGATACAATCCCAAGTTTAAACCAAGCTCTGATTTTCTGGCCGTCTGCTCGGCCACATGCAGACTTCCTCGAGGAACAGCAAAATAACCTTTTGCAGAACGGAATCAGCAGAATGCCACCCCGCTGAGCTAAAAAGCACTCTAGAAAACTGACTTCCAGCCATGCTTACGGACAATTCTTGAGAATTCATCAGACTAGACTCTGCCCATGTCGTACTAAAGCTCCTGAATTTTATCTCATGTTTTGCTTCACTGCAGTTTTTATACTTTGTTAACTCTCCAATTAGCCCTCTTTTAAGCAAGTTTAAAGGTTGCTCTGATAAGCGGCTAGTTTTATATCGTTCTATCCAACAGGAATTCTCAACTTTCTATCCTCTTATCACTAATCTCCTAGCTGCCACCAGGCTGTCAATAACTTTGGATAATTTCCTTTTTCCTTCTTCTTTAAAGCTGATGATCGTTCATCTGTGTTATTTCTTGGTGTTGTGTGATCTTGTTAACGTAATTTGCAACAAATGCCTAATAAAGATTTTTTGATTTGATATGATTTGACTCCCAGCCGTGCTAAGATGCCACATGCTGTACGGACCACATTACTGGCATTTTGATCACTGAAAGGCACGGGCTGTGTGGAGATATCTGCAGAGATGGGAATCAGGTCTCTCCAACAGTCTGCTATGTAGTCTACCTCTCCGACACCCATTCCTTTTTTTGTTTTTAAGTGACAGATTCCCTAACATAGTAATCCACGCATAGCTTTTACATCTAATTCTTGCACGGGTTCAAACTGCTTCACAGGATTTATCTTGTTGCAGCCCTTATAACAGCCCTGTAAGGTAGGCCAGTGTGACTCTCCCCATGTCTCTGTGACTGAGCGAGAAGAGCTTTCTTGAGCGAGTCTGCAGTCAAAGCAAGATTCGAACCCTGAACTTCTTGATTTGGCCAGTCTCTTCGCCACTATGCCAATCTCCATTCAGCTCATGAAGTCCTTGTGGCTCGCTGCTTGCAAACCCCCCTTACAGCTGCAGGATCCAAGACTCGGTTATCCTCACACCCCACTATTTCTGTCTCATGCCAATCATGCCACCTTCCTCCCACAAAAATTAAAATTGCACTTCAGGCAGGCTGCTGCTGCTGCTTTGAAAAAGCTGGACCAAAAGTACAACTACTTTTTTTCTCCAAGAGGGAAAAGTGAGAGAAAAGAGAAGGAGAGACCTCAAGTATCAGGAACTCACCCCCTTCCTTTCCTCGTTGGATCCTTGATCCTCCTCAGTCTTCATTTTCGTGGTCAGTAGTCTGTTCTCAGAACTGGGTGCCAGAGTCCGCTGTTCGTAGTAACGGGCAGAACACATCCAGAGTGGGGAAGCAGACGTGAATATATAGATGCCTTGAGTGTGGCAGGGAACACCCAGCAATATACTTTATAGCCCAATAACGTCGGAAGCTTGCCCTCTGAACTTTTCCGAGTCCCGCATGCCTCTCTCGTGCCTCCCTTGTGGCATTCAGGGACCAGCGTTTGCAAGCATGCAGTCTTCAGCACAAGGTGGGCGACGAGCCAAGGCCAGCAGCCGACCGCATGCAGAAGGTCCCACAGCTGATCCTTAGGATCACCAGTTCAAACGGCTGTCAGGTAGCAGGTGCTGGGAAAGACCTTCCTCTGCCAGAGAGCCACTGTCGGCCCCAGTCAGCCGTTTGAGGATAGGTGGACCGGTATTCCCACTCTGCACTAGGCAGGTTTGCAGACTAACTCTGTCGGCAGCTGGCTTTTTAAGCGTCACTTTGCTGCTGCCGCCGCTGGAATAGAGGCTGCAAACGCGTCTCTTCTTGCAACATGCTGGGTTGAGCAATAACGAAAGAAATTAATTCCAGCAGCGCTTTGGAATAAGGCGCTCCAGTCCTCTGGTCTGCGTGGTCAGAGAACTATTTGGCGGCAGACCATCATTCAGCTCGTACACTCCAGCTCTTGTCTCTGGTAGAAGACGCTGTCCCTGGTTTTCCTTTGGGAGACAGCTGCAGATGTCTTTTTAAGGGTTTTGTTAGCATGCATGTCAGAAAAAAGTACATACACACACACAGAGGGAACGTTCTCTTGCAGTAGTGCAGATGTCTTTTTAAAGCATGCATGTCAGAAATATATATATATATACACACATACAGGCAGGGCTATTTTTGGGCAGGAACGCACAGGAACGAAGTTCCGTCTGGCTCCCGAGTTGGCCACGCCCAGCAGGAACTCATTAGCATAATAGGCCACACCCAACAGCAGAAACTCATTAGGATTGGCTACATTAGGGGTGTGTGGCCTAACATGCAAAGGGTTCCTGCTACAAAAAAAGCCCAGGGTTTTGACAACAAACAAGGTAAACAGAATAAGAAGCAAAAGGTGTGTGTGGCTGGATGGCCACACTTCTGGTAACGTGGGGGTGCGGCCTAATATGCAAACGAGCTGCTCTCTCATGGGTGTGGCCTAATATGCTAATATGTTCCTGCTGTTGGGTGTGGCCTATTATGCTAATGAGTTCCTGCTGGGCTTTTTCTACAAAAAAAAGCCTTGCATACAGGGAACATTCACTTGCAGTAGATAGGGCGAGACTGTCCAATAGTGCATCCAAGTTGCTCCTTATGAAAGAGCAAACCTGTCGGTCTCATGGAGGGTATTAGCCACGATAGCTAAAGGGAACCTCCATGTTCAGAGACAGTATATATCTAAATGCCAGTTGCTAGAGGCAACCACAGAAGGACACTCTGGCACCTGTGCCCATGCTGGGGTTCTGCTAAGTCACCTGGTTGCCCACCGCAGGTAACAGGATGCTGGACCTCCAGGACATTTGATCTCATCCAGATCTCGCGTTCGACTTACATATCCCACGAGATCACAAAATCCACGTCAGGCTTTCAAGCTACGCAGGAATTTGTTTGGTGGGTTATAAAATGCCTAGCAATTTTTTTCCCCTGCAGGTGCATAAACACTGCCAGTTTTACCAGGGCGTGGGATGAATCTTGCCAAGAGGTACGGACCCAGAACTCCAAATCCCCAAATCCAGGACTTCCCAGGTTCCTACCGAGCAAGTAATTTTCATCAACATGAAGTCAACCGCTTGTTAATCCTGAAAACAAAGTTCCTGTTGGCAACGAGTCGACTTTAAATTGTAGCACGGAAATCTGGTGTTGAAAGAGTAGATCCAGAAGTACTCATGTGCAATGTTCCCTCTAAGCTGTGGAGTCTTGTGAGCAAAAATTCTACTTTGTGAGCTACTGGCCTTAAAGTTGTGAGCGAGCCATTTGGCTACTGCATAAATTAGTTTGTTCTGGAGCCATCCTTCCTGAGCTAAGACAAAAATGTGTGAGCCGGAGGCTAAAAAAGTGTGAGCTAGCTCACACTAACTCAGTTTAGAGGGAACACTGCTCATGTGCATGAATGCTCAGTGTTTAGCATGCTGTTACTTACAGCTCTTCAGTGCTCATCTGTGTACACACAGACAGAAATTAAGGGATGTCAGTGGGGGATACAGCACTGTACTGGCCTCTGGAAGTTAAAGATCTCTCTCTTTCTCGGGGGTGGGGGAGTTGCTTCTAGACCGTAGTTCACACATACAAGGATTTAACCACCTAACCGGAGAGAAAGTATTACTGTATGCCTTCGAGTTGTGTAATTTGTTGAGCCGTATTGACTGTGAGATGTACTATTCAATTGCCTGTGTGTTAAGTGCCATCCAATCGCTTCCAACCCTATGAATTAATGACCTCCATAATGTCCTCTTGTTAACAGCCTTGCTTAGGTCCTGCAAAGTGAGGGCCCTGGCTTCCTCGACTGACTCAGTCCATCTCCTGTTGGGTCTTCCCAGGGGTCATTTCCTGCAGGAGCGCACGGGAGCGGAGCTCCGGCAGTGAAGAGCCCAGGGGGCGGGCGCATGCAACAAGCCCCGCCCCCTGCTCCCAGCAGCCCTCAGTCAGAGCAAGAAGCAGCCAGGTAAGTTGCAAAACCCCCCCCCCAGCCCCACAGTCCAAAACAGTCCAGTGGCACCTTTAAGACCAAGATTTATTCAGGTACAAGCTCTCCCTCCTCTGCGAGGACAATCTGCACGCCCCCCCCCAATTTTTACTCACCCAAGGGACCAGATGTTATTTACAAGTCTGGTTCACAGGCAGGGGTCATTTCCTGCAGGAGCGCACAGGAGCAGAGCTCCGGCAGTAAAGAGCCCGGGGGCGGGCACATGCAACAAGCCCCACCCCCTGCTCCCAGCAGCCCTCAGTCAGAGCAAGAAGCAGCCAGGTAAATTACAGAGCTTCCCCCGGCCCCCCGGCCCAAAACAGTCCAGTGGCACCTTTAATACCAAGTTTTATTCAGGTACAAGCTCTCCCTCCTCTGCGAGGACAATCTGCACGCTCCCCCCCCCCCAAATAGCTAGCAACCCAAAACAGTCCAGTGGAGCCTGAGCGGTGGGTGTTGCCTTCTGACACACTTCCGGTGACGTCAGGGGTGTGTGGCATATGCAAATGAGTTATGCTAATGAATTATGCTAATGTGCTCCTGCACTTCTTTTTCTACGAAATGACCCCTGGGTCTTCCTCTTTTCCTGCTGCCTCCAACTTTTCCTAGCGTTATTGTCTTTTCCAGTGAGTCTTGTCTTCTCGTCATCTGACCAAAGGACGACAGCCTCAGTTTAGTCCTCTTACCTTCTAGGGAGAGTTCAGGCTTGATATGATCTAGAACTCTGCTCCAATTAAACATTGTTAATTGGATTTTTTTTTTAAAGGAAATTTATGAAGTCAGAGCAGGACAGATTATATCAGAGTAAAAGAAGTCAACAGACATCAGCGGAGAGAGGAGCCTCTAGCAGATGGGAGTAGGCTGGTTCCCTCTAAGCTGAGTTAGTGTGAGCTAGCTCTCAGTTTTTTAGCCTCCGGCTCACAGATTTTTGTCTTAGCTCAGGAAGGATGGGGCTCCAGAGCAAACTGATTTATGCAGTAACCAAATCGCTCGCTCACAACTTTAATGCTAGTCGCTCACAAAGTAGCATTTTTGCTGACAAGACTCCACGGCTTAGACGGAGCATTGGAGGAGGTGTTTGTTGTTGTTCAGTCGCACAGTCGAGTCCGACTCTTCGCGACCCCATGGACCAGATCCCGCCAGGCCTTCCGGTCTTCCGCCGTCCTCTGAAGTTTGCTCAACTTCATGGTCGTTGCATCTATGACACCGTCTAACCATCTCATCCTTTGCCGTCCCTGTCTTCTTTGACCTTCAGTCTTTCCCAGCATCGGGGTCTTCTTCTCCAGGGAGTGCTCCTTTCTCATTGGGTGGCCAAAGTATTTGAGCTTCAGTTTCATTATCTGGCCTTCCAGGGAACAGTCAGGGTTGATTTCTTTTAGGATTGACTGATTTGTTCTTCTTGCAGTCCAAGGGACTCTCAAGAGTCTTCTCCAGCACCATAGTTCAAAAGCATCTATTCTTCGGCGCTCGGCCTTCCTTATAGTCCAACTCTCGCAGCCATACCTGACTACTGGGAATACCGTTGCTTTGACCGTGCGGACTTTTGTTGGCAGGGTGATGTTACAGATTCCCAGAAGAGGTGTTACAGATTCCCAAATGCATACCCGACATTTCGCCAATGAAGATAGGCAGACTGGTATGGTGCGTGTGCAGATTAGTGCTTAGGGTTGCCAACATCCAGGTGGTGGCTGGAGATCTCCTGGAATTACAATTGATCTCCAAGTGACAGAGAGCCGTTCACCTGGAGAAAATGGCTGCTTTGGAGGTTGGACAATTACAGCAGTATAACCCCCTCTGCAGTCTCTCCCCTCCCCAAACCCCACCCACCTCAGACTCCACTCACAAAATCTCCAGGTATTCCCCAACTGGAGCTGGCAACCTATCAGGCCCGTGAGTGCGACACAATATCGAAGGTTCTTCTCCAGTCTCCACCTTTTGGACACGTGCTCCGTCATGCATCGACTTCCAAAACAGGTGGGTTAGCAAACTATCCATTTTAAAGAGAGCCTCAGGAATGTGAAAGAATGTTTAACAATGGATCAGGGTGTTGCTATTATGAAACGGCAGTGTTTTATAGCAACGACATTTACTGCTGGATTAGAAATTTATGGAAGGTAATGTCAGGACAGCAGGACACTGCCATTTTGTGTTCACGTGTGCTCATTTGCATGTCTAGGTGTTCCCGTCTCATGTCGCAAGATGTAACTTCCCAGAGATGCAGCAGAAATGTGGAGAACGCCGGCTTTGGTTAAAGGCAAGAGAGACAAAATAGGGATCTTGATTTACTTGGAATGGACACCAGAGATGACAGACTACCCTTGATAAACAGGAAATGGTTATTCAACAAGTAGGCAGGAGGAAAGCTGGTGAATTTTGATACACAGAGCCATCTTACACCTAGTTCCGGTTAAACCTGATCAATGTAGGAGGTACCTGGTTAGTAGCTCTGATTGGAGCAAGGACTTAAAATACTGCACTCAGAAGATGGTGTCCTCAGGTGACACCTCTCCCCATAAACAGAACTGCCCAAAGCTTGTTCCCACCCTCTGTATGTATGTAGTAGGGATGCCAGCATCCAGGTGGGGCCTGGGGATCCCCTGGAATGACAGCTCATCTCCAAGCTACAGAGATCAGTTCCCCAGGAGAAAATTGACGATTTGGAGGAAAGACTCTATGGCATTGTACCCCGCTGAGTTCCCTGTCCTTCTCAGGTTCCATCCTCAAATCTCCAGGAGCATCCTAACCTGGATTTGGCAACCC